CCGACCGCCCCCGGGGCCTGTGGCTGCGGGGGCTCTGAGCCCGCGTCGGTCCCCGCTGTGGTCGCTGAGGGGACAGCGTCGGTGGCCCCTCGCAGGGAAGGAAAGGGCCGTCAGCTTATCTCGGGAGTTACGGTCAGGTTGCGGAAAAAGGAAGCCCCGGCCGCTTATCTCTCGGGCCCGTTTAAATACCTGTTGCGAAGCCGCAGAAAGTAAAGAGTCGCAGTGACAGGTCGTGCCGGGGGCGGGTGTGTGGTTCTTAGCAGCAGCGAGCGGCCGGTGGCCGCCAGCAGACAGAAAACCAAGGCAAGCTTTCCTTGCTGTGTCTTCCTGGCCGCAAGGATCTGAAATCTAGGGGCTTCTTGGCCCCGGAGTCTCAAATGAAGCTTAAATGCATTTTCGTGCCCGCATAAGTGACAAGGAAAGTTCACGTAACCAAATCACTTATTTGTAAGGATGTTGGCTGGTGGGGGGTCTGTACTTAAAAGAGTCTGTGCTCCTTTGGGTGAGCTTTAGAAGTCGTTTCCTGCTGCTCGGATGGAAATTACGCCAGGCTGCACCTTGAGACTTGAATGAAAAAGTTCAAGACCAAGAGCTTTTATGATCTCTTGTTTTATTGCTGTTAAAGGTGGCTGTCTCACACTTCCTGATCTCTCAGCTTCTGTATTACATGAAACGCTGATCCATGATTCTCCACAATAAGAGTCTATTTAAACTGTATGCTTTTGGTAAATACCTTGCATGGACTTTATCCGTTTGCTGTCATGAATCAGTAGAGCGGGTAATAAGCTGAACATGTAATGAAAGTGTAGTTGCTATAAATGTCTTTTCCCTTCTTTAAGTGTATTGTTCCATTCAGACCAGCCAAATCTGGCACCTAACACATAGGTGTGGATTTTTTCAGTCTTGCTTCCGCGCCGCTTCTGTTGTAGTAGTTAAACATTCTGTGGACATTCTTTTATAGGATCATAGAAATGGTGTTTGGAAGTGACCTCAGCAGGTCACAGAGTCCAACCTCATGCTTGAAGCAAGACTCTTGCCAACACTAGATCAGCTCAGTTCTACCTTTGTTTAAGCAAGCCTTGATAACATCCAAGCATGGAGCATCCACCACCTCCCTGGGTGACCTGTTACAGTGCTGCAGTACCCTCTTAAGGATTTTTTTTTTTCTTCAAGTACAAGCTAAGACTTTCAAGCCGCAGTTTGTAGGTTTTCACAAGATCCCTGAAAAATATTGCTATGTTTGAATTATTCCTGTTTTAAGCTAGGATTGTGGCAGAAAGATTTTTTTTTTTTTCCCAAAGTCAAGCCTGAGACACTGATGGTGTCATCTTTTTCAGATGTCTCTGTATTTTTTTTTTTCCTCATAGAATGTGTACAAAATGTTTGTCTCCTTATCCTGAGAACTTATCGTTTTGTAAATGTGAAGTGAGGTGCTTAAGTAATGTGAATCTTCCACCAGTGGCTAGCCGAACATTTTAGAATAACCTCCAGAGGTGTATTATTGCAAAAATCTCTTTATGAAATTAGGCATCTCTTATATTCCTCTACTTCGTGCCAGCCATTTATGTACTGAGTGAGACACAGGCATATGGAGAAGTCTAAATCACTCTTCACATCTAAGTCTCTCCATGTAGTCCACAACTGAATGTAGTCTGGTCTGTGGGGAGGAGAAACAATATGTGATCAGATAATGGTTCTATCATAATATTTACTTAAGTATGTAAAACTAAGCTTCCCTGGACAACCTTAACTTTTTACGTGTTCTTGCTGAGTTCTTACAATTGTCACTGTTGATTATGATGTCAGTAATAATGCTGAGTTTTCCTCTGCCTTGAGGATTTGGATCTACAGATCAGATCTCTAAATGGTACTATTTGTCTGTTATAATCTCTATGGCTCCCCTGTCCTCTGTTGGTGAGGTAGCGTGGGATGGGATGGTGTTAGTGGGGCATGTGGCTAGCAGCACAAGAATGATGGAGCTCATGACTTTCCCCCTTCCTCCAAGCTGTCTACTAAACTGCTTGGGCAAACTCAGCTTGGCTGCTTTTCCCGTTTTGGTTGGAATATCATCAGAAATGGAATGCGATCTGCACAGACTTAAATAGTAGCTCTTGCCTGAACATTAAAAATCCTTACTCAGTTTAAAAAAATACTGATGGCTCCAAAGGGGACTTGCCATTGTATGGGAAATTATTTTTCAAAGATGCTGATCTGCAGTAACACACACGCTTCTTACAGAAAACTGAAGCATTCAAGTAAATCTCCTCCTCCAATGCAAAATAGCTAATCTAAGGCCGTGGTTCTGTGACGAGCTGAGGCAGTCTAATTCCTCACTGCTGGAAGTGAAAGATTTCATTCCTGTCTTCCTCGGGGCAATGTGTTCCTGTCCTCTGCATCATCCCAGCTGTGTTACTTGTTAAATCCTTTTTTGAGCTTATTAACATGGCAGGAAACTATCCAACTTTTTGCCAGACTAGTTTTTTGCTGTGTTAGTGAGTTGAAGCAGCTTACAGAATTATCACAAGCATGCTTTACCCAGAGGTAAGCAGCAGGTCTGCATGGCTTAACGCAGAGGCAAGAGGAGCAGTAAAGTGTCTTCACTTAATGAGTCAATTTAACAGCTCACAGCTGTCTACCGCTTGCGGAACTGCATCCTGACTTGCACATGGACAACTACAGTATATCAGTAAAGCATAGCACCTGACTGAAGTATCTGAGCTACAGATACATGTGAACAGCTCCATCTTTCCTCC